CCAGCCAGCATGGGAGTTGAAGTCCACACATCTTAAAGTTCCCAAGGTTGAGAAACACTGGCCTATATCAATGCATTAATATAGCAAAATCGTAGATCAGACAGTGAAGTAGGTCTCCTAAAAATTGCTTAAAATCTACACATTATTTTCTCGCCTTAAATTACTAAAGATTTGCCTGGACAAAACAGGAAAAATGCACATTTTTGAGCTGTATGAACATTGGGGTCCCCACCATCACATAAGTTCAAAAATTTTGAAAATGAAATGCTCAGTTAGTAAGGGACTCAGGAAAGTGCCCACTGTCATCAAATAAGGTTGGAAAGCATTGACCAGTATGCCAGGATTATTATGCTCCTCCATGCAATATTTACACATGGTTTTATGCTACTCTTTTAGATCTGTTCTGTTTTAGCATGTCATTTACATATGATGAATATTTTTATTCTGCTTGGAGAATGTGTGTATATGAGAACATCTTGGAAAGTAGCTGAAAAGGAGGTGTAGAAGGTTTTATAATTAAAATAATACATTTACTAACTTGGTAACACCAATAACATTATCTTGACATTCAGTAGGATTGCTTAAAGTGAAGTGAACATATTTAGCTGGATTTGTGGGTAAAAATGCAAATCTTGGAAAAAATGAGGCTTGCCAAAACTGTCCTATAGTTGGAAGGAGGATATGCTCTTATATTCACTGTTCTTCTTTGATCACCTGTTTTTACAACTACTACTTTACAGGACTTTATTTCTTTTACACTAAATTATTGCTTCCTCTGATTTTTTGTCACTAGCCAGGATGGAAATGTTCAGGTTTTTAAAAACTGCTCGGGTTTCTACTCTGGTTATATTTCAGCTAAAACTAGAATGACAGTTGTTCCTATTCTATTTGCACAGGGTTTTTTCTTACTTTTTTCAAACTGGAAACCCCAGAGGTTTTGTTTGTTTGCTTGCTTTTTTCAAAGCCAGAGAATAGAGCATTACACTCTATTTTAAAATATGTATTTTGTCTACTTTGTGTTTCAGGAACAGCCTTGTTCCAGCCCAGAGACTTTGGCTGATTTCAGGGATATTTACAGCAATGTACGGTGGGTGCAGGCAGCCAGCAGCTAACGACCAAGCACACTGGCTTAAAACAGTGATTGTGGATGCACATTCCCCAACTGCATCACAAGGCAAATGACAAATATATATCTTCAGCTGTGCTGTGTAGTTCTGTATGGAGAGTGATACAGATGCACACCTCCATCCAGTTTCCCTTCTCTATTTGCCCTTATTTTATATTAATCTTATGGCTAGATGCGTGAGTCATTGTGAAGATTCTGCTACAAAGTAAGGATCCCTGCACAGAAATCTTTCATTTGGAATTTTGATCTTAAACATGTCATACAAATGTCAGTTAAATGTCAATTAACATCTGCATGGATATTCTAGGAGGAACAGATGCATTTGTTCTGTGAAAGTACTCTCTGCATTCCACAAATTCCAAATATTCTATCCAAGTTGGTCCTATCTATCCACTGTTACAAGTTCCAAACCAAGGACTGCTAAGGCCTACTTGCAGGAAACAACTGATGATTTTAATGGCAAATGTGTTTGCAATCTATGTAATAGTATGTAGCAATAGCAGAGTTTTCAACATTGTAGCAGACAATTGTGAGATACACACATATTTGCAATATAAATGTGATTTGGTCTACAGTTCATATAGGGTTTAGACAAGGAACTAAATAGCAGATTGGTGATTTTTACTGCAAAACATTTTCAAAGTAAAATGAGATATCTTGTTAGGCTGACATCTGGTGGCCAAATTATATCGATTTTTCTATGATTAAAACTTCCCTTTTCCAGCCTGTCAAATATCCAGATCCTTCATTAATTCTCCACCAATGGTGCGTCTATATATAATTATAGTAAAGCTTTCCCAAACTCATGCTTTCCAGATATGTTTGATGGAAACTCACATGGTGGCCAAGAAGTATCTGGAGAGCACCAGAATGGAGAAAGCTAGGTTTTGGCACATTTTTTCTGACTGCTTTATTTTAATTATTGGACAGCTATCCCTTTTTCCTTTCAAGTTTATATATTTGATCAACAATAATGCTTTTGATCTGTCTGGTGTTGAAGATATATAACTCAATCTGCAATTTTATAAAAATGATTTTTTACATAACTGTATATCAAAATAATATAAATGAAGAATAACTAGAATGTTAGTCTGTTTTAAATTTTATTTTAAACCCTAAAATTACAAAGACAGCTAAATCTTCCTTGCACAAAATTACACATACAAAGTAAAATGAACAGATATCAATCCTATAAGAATTTGCTTTTGTTTAAACATAAGCATACCTAATTTTTTTTTAAACTGGAGTACTTAAAATTATGTTTTCCATTCCCCTCTGGGGGGAAAAACACTCCAAACCTTAGCAATAATTGTATACAGCTTCCTAGATTCAATATAGGCTACATTTGTGTTATCTATTATCCCCTACATTTGTTCTTCCTCCCTTACCCAGTCAAAAGACACAT